GGTTGTGTCCTCTTTGGCCACTGTAACTCATCTCTCTACAACCTGCTCTCTACAATTTAACAACTAGGTACAAACCCGCTTTTCCCTCTCAGGGGCTCAATCTGCCAGAATGCCCAATTTAGGCCACTTAATTGTTTTTTAATATAAAGCAACAAGTAAGCCCTCAAAGTCCTGTAGTATAAATTGCTCATTACAAAACCCCCAAAATGAAATGTGTTACCTGAGGGTTTGCACCACCAGAAGTTTTAATAAAACAAACACCCCAAGCCAACAAAAGACCATTCTTGTTTATTATTGGTTGAATAACAGGCATCTAGGCATCTAGTAGTTGGTTAAATTTTATCATTCGCTAGAAAGAAGCTTTTCACTAATTGCTAAAACATTTTTCATCGCCTAAAGAAAGACATCTCAGTGTTTAAACAAAAAAAACCAAAAAAAACCCCACAAAAGCGAATAGTCATGTAGCACCTTAAAGACTAATCCACCTCCAGACTAAGGCCTCCATCATATCCTATTCTGATTATGGCCATTTGGCAAACCTCTCCTCTCTGACATTGTGCCCCCACTACCATCCATTTAAAAATACAGCTGATCAAGTCACATATCTTCTATGACATTCTGATGGCATCAGTCCTCTTTGAACCCTTTCAATGGCTCTTTCTTTTTCCACCTCACTAAGTTCAATCTTCTTGTTCTCAACTGAAAGATCCTTCACAATTCTGACTCTGCCTACCTATGTCTTCTAAATATCTTATCACATAGACTCTCCCAACCTTCATCGGTGCTGTTAGACTACTATTTCAAGTCTCCCCAAACTTCTTCATGCCTTATTTCACGTGCCTCTGCACAGAAACCTCATCAAATTTATTCTTAAGATTAGTACCTTCTCTTCCCTCAAATCTTTCCTTATGACCCAAATGTTCTGCAAAACTTACAGGAAACTACCTAACACATGGATGAGTAAAGTCAGTATGTTAGATCTAAACCATTACACGGTGTGTAAAGTTGATGGACCCAGGTCATAAACAGGTAGGATTGAACCTGGGACCTTAAGGGCTAAAGCTATGAGCCTCTATCGCATGAACTAAAAGCCAACTGGCTCTTAGCAGAGATTGTAAAGCAGATTACACTCTCCCTCTCATTGGTTTCAGTGCCTCTGGATTGCAAATGTTTGTATGATCAGAGCATTGTAAATGCTTTGGGTCAAAGATTACACCTTCCCATCTCTGAAGACAGTGCCTGGCACATCATGTGTATTATGGGATAGATACAATAAAATTAAAACAATAACAAGGCCTTGCTTATTTTTTCCCATCATAAGTCAATAGGATTCTATGCAGACAGAATTCACCTACACAGACCATTTTTTTCCAGACCCATGCCTGCTTCTGTTGAAATCAATAGGAATTTTGCCACTGATTTCAATATGCCATGATTTCACCCATAATGTCTATTGAGAATCATAATTTTGTCTTATTCAAATTAAATTTGGTTTTACTGCCATTTTAATACAGTTTTGACCTCTTGAGCATTTTATTTTTGTGTGTATTAAGTATGCAATATAAAATCTATGGACCCAATCCGAAAAACCTCACTAATCTGAGCAAACAGCATGGAAGCCAATGGTACTAATTTAATGAGTAAGGATTCCTCATTCTTTCTTCTTATTTAACCACACTTTTACTAAATTACACAGAGACAGATACTGATATGCCTTTATGTGAGCATGAGATCAGAATATATCAAATATAAGAAGAATTTGCTTCATGCTTTCTAATGGGTTCAACAGCATAATCTACTTAAAAAAACACAAATATGTTTGTTTACATGTATGATTTTCCTAACAGCATGGCATAATCTTTGGAAAAAATATTCCTTTATAAATGTACTAAAATAATTAAATTTAATATCAGAAAGGTTTTTTTTGAGTAAAAACAAAGTAATACAGTAATTCGATTATCACTGACATCAGAAATTGTCTTCTACGTGTAAACAATTTCTGTGAAACTAAACACTTTCCTGGATATGTAACTGTGATTCACACATTAAAAATGATAAGTTTAAACCCATCAATAGTAAATCAATTGCAACTATATCAGATAAAACTGAAATAATTCAACATATTATATAGGAAAAACAGATAGAGTGGGTGTAATGGAGAGTGTTCACTTTAAATTGAAATCTGTTTCTAGGTTTTTCAAGGACAATTCGCCTTACAAAAGTTTAACATATACATAAAAATCATCCATCAGCACATCTGATCCAAATATACTAATGATTTTTATTGGTCAGATCTTGAAAGTGAGGTTTATTTTTGTGGAGTAAGCATTAATTAACCCAACATGTACTATCTTTTAGTGTATCTAGCCAAGTACTTTCATTTAAACATGTTTATTGTGAAATGTTTGCATTCCCAACATTTGTGGCCCACACACAGACTATTTCATACTTCTTTCTGAGCATTTACGAAAGTTAAAAGGCGTTATTGTTTTTGATTAATGCAGCTTTTTTGGCATTTTTTAAAATGTTCCATAACTATGCTCTGAATACATTTTTCTGCATTCAAACCTCTACATGCATTTCTGTTAAAAATGAAGTAGTATATTGAATGTACAGGATTTACTTGGAATCGTTTTAATTTTCTTCATGGAAATAAACTTTATTTACTTTTGTGTATAGTTCAAGTGTATTTGCGTAGACTCTGAATTGACTGATCTGATGTGACTGTATCAATCATTAAAAGAAAAGCTATGTTGGAAGATCCGTAGCATGGTGCATTACAGATGGGACTTCTAAGGCTGTGGCTGTCATCTTTTGATTAAGAAAAGGAAATGATTTCACTAAAAAGATATTCCCTCTTGTGTTGTTTTGTTTTAACTGAGTTTGTACTTTCCACCGAGCTGGACATATTTATTGAGACTCATAAGTTACTTCACGGTTACCAACATCACTGTAATCTCAACAAACTATCTTTTTTCTTGCCAATTATCTAAATATCATAACTATAAAATATCTTAAAACATTCTCTATAGTGTAAACATCTTAGCTACAAAGCTTTAAGTGTAAACAGTATGATGCATCAGAATGATTTTAAGCGATGTTATAAAAACTGCTCTTAAAAACTAAACAAAAATGTAAAGCTTCCATCTGTTTTATGATTTTTCCACTGTAGAACTACTGCTGTGTGCCAGTTTACTGAACCATAGCTTGCTAAAGAGATTGCTGGGGTCACAGATTGAAAAAACAAAGAGCAAGTCTTTAATGGTTGATTTTTTTTTCTTCAAATCTCCCTGATATGGTTCAAACAGAATTAAGTACATGGCAGCAGAAAACATAGAACAGAAAATGTTCATGTTGCCTGTTTCATAGAGAAGTATTCATAGAAAAGAGAAATATTTTGCAGAATTTGTCTTTAAGTGATTATCTTACCTTTTTTTTTTTTTTTTTTTTTTTTTTTGTGATGGTATACCTGTGTTGTCAGCACTAAATGAGAACAACACTATTATTCTTCACGCTGTGCACATGGGATTTAAAAATAGACATTAAATTTCATCCTAACACAGGGGTAGATGGAAACTTTCAGACTTACTTTATGGGTCCATAAGCAGATATGAGAGAACTGTTATTCAGAAAACCTGAATGCCTTTTTCTTCACTGACTCTTGAGATGAGGGGAATCCACCAAACGTGCATACCTTTTCTACTAAATACCTAATTTTACACTTAAATATTTCAAAGAGTAGAACTGTTGCTTTACTAACTAGTCAATGAATAGCAGTAATTTGTATCTTTCAAAAAATGGTTAGAAGATACATTTTTTAGTCTACATCCATTCACATTTTACTGTTCAAAATTAAGGCTCTAATACAACAAAGCACATGCTTAATTTTGGGCATGTGATTAGTCCCATTAAAGCCTCAGACTGATATCCTGCAGGCATTTAAGCACTGTGTTTAACTTTATTGTTCTAAGTAGTCTCATTCATTTCAATGAGCCTTTTCACTTGAGCATAGTTAAACACCGCCACAAAGGGCCCAAATATCTACATTGCAATTTTATAGCCCAGCTGTACGGGCTCGAGAGCCTGAGTAAGCTCACACAGGCCATCCATGAGTGTATTATTGCAGTGTAGACACAGACCCATAGGCCTGGTCTGCACTGGAAGGTCGGTAAGGTACACAACTCTAGCTACGTATTATATATAGCAGAAGTCGGCTTACCTCAAGACAAGCTTGGTGGAGCTCACACAGTGGGAGGCTGATGGGAGAAAACACTCCTATCGGCTTCCCTTACTCCTTGCAAAAGCAGGAAGTACAGGCACTAAGTGGAGCTGCCCTCAGTGTTCGATTTACAGGTTGAAACTGAAACCACTAAATTGAACACCAGAATGTTGATCTCTGGCACAGCAAGTGTAGATATGCCTTAGAGTTTACGGTGCCATGCTGATGCCCTTCCATCTACCTGGATGAAATGCTGCAGTCCTTACACAGTTCTTACTCAGATAAAACTCCCACTAAAAATGAATGAAAAGTTTTGCCTGAGTAAGAGAACTGTTGGATTTTGTCCTTCAATACATGGAGACTCTGTATTACATTCGCAGAGCAGGCACAGTCGGTCAGACAGGCATGCTTAATGTGCCTCCCTCTGAGATCATGGATGAAAAGCACTGCTGGAGAAAAAGGGTTTCAGCCCAACATATCTGCCATTTGCATGCTCTTTTCAGAAAAATGTTCATCACAATGCAATACACTTCACCCACTAGTCATGTATATATAATCCTCCTCAGCTCTGTAGTCAAAAGGGAGCTCCCTCCCAGGCTCCATATGATTTTACACAACCTTCAGCTAATAGCCAATACTGAGGGATGTTACGTGGCTCTCTGGGTGGATTTTGAGACCACTCAACAATGAATTACACTCACATTGACTAAGGTTCTTAAGCACTACATTATTACAAGTTGTTATTATTCTTAATAATCAATGTATGCAATATTTTTCTTACCTGTAGTAGTTAAAGCAGTGTAGTCTAATAGTCTGTGCACATGATGAGAGGATAAGAATTCCTTAATTCTGCACGTGGCTCTGATGCTGACACCCTCTGTGGGCTTGGATAGATCAATTAACTTCTTTGACTCCGTTTCCTCATCTGTAAAATGGGAGAATCATTAGAGCTGAGCAAACAGTGGAAAACAAGGTCAGAGAATATTCATTTAAATTTTAAAAAATAAACTTTTGGTTTAATTGTATTGGCAGCCCTTGACTGGATACTCTTCCCTTTTTTTTTTTTTCTTTCTCTGCTAAGTTCAGAGTGCCTAAAGATCATCAACAGTAACACTTCTACACAATGACTGTTTGTCAAATGTTTGAAAATGTGCTGATTTCAAATTTAAAATTGTGTTTTAAACTTGCAATTTCCTTCTGCATTGTTTACTTACATGACCCCCCCAATTAGGGGACAGAAATAGCTATACCTGACTTATATAACCCATCTACAAACACAAGTGTACATCTGAATCTACAATTCTGAATTTGCAATGTGTTGGTTCATTAAAGAGGTCATGTGGTACTGCTGCCATTCTTAAATGGATACATAACTGATAAAACACAGTAGAAATTCTCAATGGCATATTCAGTAGTAATAGTCACATTTTTCATTTTGCACAGCATCAGATAATTGTACAACTCATCCAATCAGCGAACAGACAAAACAAGATGATTTAGGTAAACAGCCATGACTGAATGATTTATAAATGTTCTAAATTTGTGAACAATCTACAATCTGAGAATTATTTACAGAAGAAATTTGCAAATGAACAACAAATAAATTGGGTACTATCAAAAATGAGGGAAAAAGCAAAATGTAAATACATGATCCATTATTAATTCTTTGCTCAGATCTAATAACAGCTGTCCGTAAGGTAGATACAATAATCCCAACATAGGTCACAACCAGGTGGTTTTAAATTTTTTTAACTACCTGTGGAAAAATGGAACTCTATATATGTTGGTGCTATGTCCTGCTGATTCATTAATTTTTATTTCAAGATACTGGGGTGCCTAATGTGATTATTTTATATATCTTCCTGGCTCCTATTTTTAAAAAGATTGTATGAACTGTAAGGGTATTAGAATTATTACCTATATTATCTTAGCCAATTATTTTCACTGTTCATAATGCTTAGGTTTTACTAGTATAACACTGACAGACCCCGGTCATCTGTGGCAAATTTAAACCTGGGACCTCTGGAGCTTAGTACATGTGCCTCTACTGCATGAGCTAAAAGCTGGCTAGCTATTAACTAAGGCCGTAGAACAGACTCATTATTCGCATTGCAAGTGATCTCAGCGCCAATAGATGAGATAGCACATCACTTCAAGTTGGAGTGTGGGTTATGCTACCAGTACCATTCCTGGATCACAGTCCAGCTAACATTTAAGCATGTGCATAATTTTACCCAGGTGAGTATTTCCCATTGACTGACATGGGAGCCTCTAGTACTCAGCACTTTTCACAGGTGTCTCAAGTTGGCCTCCCAAAAATGGAAACACCCATCATGATTCTTCCCAAAATGACTGTTATTCTTTCCACATAGTTTTCAGAATGCAGCTTTCCTACTTAGACAAAACAATTATGGTAAGAAACAGAAAAAGGAAGAGAGGAAAGTATCTGTGAAAATGAAGCAATGTGGAAAACTCAAATCTCCTGTTTAAGCCTACAGCAGTGAACCAAAACTCTGGAAAAGCAGCCCTGGGTGAAAAAGAAAGACCTTGAGCTATATCACCAGAGACCAGATGAACATCCTAATGCTTCAATTTTCATTTCTCAAATACAAATGGAATAGTGAAATCTGGCCAGTTAACCTATACTTTTCTTTCTCTAACCACTAATAATGTTTGAAAGGAGCTATTTTTAAAGCAGCCCTTACAGTGTTTCAGCTCGCTATTGTCAGCTTCACATCTCAAATGCAATTTGATTTATAATTACGTTTTAAAACAATAGCATGAAAATAACATTAGGGGGTCATAATCTGAAGTTTGTCTACTTATGCACATAATACAGATTTGCAATGGATCTTCAGCAATGGCTCATCTGGAACTAACTCTGCTTCAGACAATTGTCGCACCAAATATGTGAGTAAGGTACCAGAGGGTCCATGCCTGGCATTCGGTCTCCTTAGTAAAGAGATATGGTGCTCAAGTTCATGGCCTTCCTCTTCTGTCTTGGACACAAGAGTAGATGATGAGAGGGGTTTGGGTTCTAAGGGCATCTTTTGAAATGGTAGGAAAATGTAAGACATAAAGGGCCAGATAGTGCAGGGAGTTTTACAACTGACCAGTGAAATAGGAGCAAACCCACAGGCCACAACCTGCTGAAAAAACAAGCCTTGCATGTCTTCTACTGGCTTAGACAGGAGGTTCCCTTTTTCTTACCAACATTCTATGCACTTTACGGGAGCTAGTTTAAGTGCCTGATGTAGAAGGGTACGTCTACACTACAGGACAAAGTCGAATTAAGATACGTTAATTGTGTAGCTGAAGTTGAAGTAGCTTAACTTGGCTTTTGGCACTGTCTACACTGCAGGAATTCAAAGGAACAACACTCTTCCTTCGACTTCCCTTACTCTTCATGAAAGCAGGGTTACTGGCATCAACTGGAATGCCCCTCTCGCTTAGAATTAGCTGTCTTAACTAGATCACTAATTCAAACCCTGGAAGATCGACAGCAGCAGCCTTGATCTTCCTCTGTAGTGTAAGCGTACCCAAAATGTGCACAATACCCAAAGATCAAGTGCTAGCTAAGGCTGAGTGAACTCTCAAGTGTGTAGTTTTCTAGGCCTCACAAGCAAACAAATCCGTGCAAATTTGCTTGGAGGCTGTCTCGAACCAACTTGCCAACTGTCTATTGCAGGAAAGCCCAAGTCCCGGGCTTTCCCATAAGGTGACAAAGGAGTGATCCCAAGGCCTGTTAACATACAGCTGACATGTTGTGGGGCTGAAAGTTACCTGCCTTCCCACATGTGCAAACAACTCAAACCAGTGCTCACTGAACTTTACTGTCACATTCTGTAATTTGCAAACCCGTCAAACACTGAACACAAGACAGAGCTCAAAGGAGACTGAGGTTAATTGAAAATATTTCCTTGCACTTTAGACCAATCACCTGATGAGAGGAAGCCACTGACTAATTGATTTCACTCTGGTGTGTGTCTGACCACCAGTTTAGAGGAAAATTGGCACCAAAGTACCTATCGGCAAAGAGAAATGGATCTGTCTCTGAATACCAGTGCTAAAGCAAATGAACTAGTAAAAAGACTTTGCCTTAAAACCAAGTTTGAAATTTTATAGGCACTTACTCCATAATTTGTACTTAGGCCTTCTGTTATTTTTAAACAAATCTAATTTCTTACAGCTGTGAAATTTACATTTTAAGAGTGTCTAGTGGCCATGTGCATTAATTACTTTATTGTAATATTTTAATGAGTTTGGGGTTCAACTCTGGAAGAATTGTACTGAATCCCTGTTTCCCAGAGAGTTACACTAAAAACTGATTCAACCACAATGAAGGGTTCCTTAATGCTAGTAGTTAGGGGTCATGTGCACTTACCTCTCATTGAGCTATTACCAGTATAGACAGCAGAGTAGCCATGGCACTGTGAGTAGCAGCTGAACACAGACCATGCTTGAGCACAGACCTGCATGCTCAGCCATGCTGCTGTCGTTGCTACCGTGCTACTGCAGCTACACTATTATACTCCTGCTTGTTCTATGAGAGGTACTTTAATGTGTACCCAAGCAGGGGAATCCCATCACCAGCTCATAGCATAGATGTAGCCTAACACTGTGGTTTTCAAACTTCTTTCCCTCAGGATGCAGTTGAAGAAAATTGTTGACACCTGCAACCCAACATAATTTGACTAGAGTGTGGGCTCCAGGCTGAGGATGAGAGCCTTGGGGTTTCGGAGGGGGCTCTGGCTTTGAGGGGGAGGTCTGGGCTGAAGCAGGAGGGGCTTACCTTGAGCAGCTCCCGGTCAGCATTGCAGCAGGGATGCTAAGGCAAGCTTCCTGTCTCTCCTGGCACCATAGACCATGCTGCACCCCAGAAGCAGCCAGTAGCAGGTTCCCATCCAATGGGAGTATGGAGCTTAGAACTCAAAGCAGGGGTAGTGCACAGAGCCCTCTCTCCCTAGGAACCAATCCTATTGCCAGCCACTTCTGGGGTGCAGCGCAGTTTGAAGTGCCAGGACAGGCCTTCTGTCACCTGATCACCCTGCATCAGAGAGACCCAGTGCCTGACCTTGCATGGCACAGTATTGGTTGCAACCCATAGTTTGAAAACCACTGGCCTCATATACCCTGGGCTAATGTGGATGAGCTCACACCATTTTTATGTCTGCCTTACAAACACACTAAACTTTGGGAAAGATCAAATTTGGAGAATGGACCCAACTCATGAGATTTGGCATTACTAGATTTCCCTGGATCAGAATGCCCTATGACTTTGGGAAAATTTGTATTGGTCTAAACTTCTTGGTTAAGGCTTTCTTTCCCTTTCCCTTCCTTTTCTTTTCTTTCCTTTTTGAAAATACCACTCAAAAGAGTACACACAGACACAAACTCTCCAATCTTTAATACATCTTGATATAATCATATTTAGAGGCAAAAGTCTGAAGCCCAGCATATCTCCTAAATTCATGCAAGATGTACTGGAAGGCTTCCCTTTTGTTGCAGTAATTGAAGGACTTTTGAAAGGTACTGGACTATCTAAAACACATGCTTACCTTACCATCCCTTGATTTATTTTGATGGGCAGTGTCACAACCTGAACTCTAATATATTTTTGTGCATGAATGTGTCATGAAAAATGCTGGTCAGATGCACCAGAATGTAAAAGTTAAATGGTTAGCTGTATTGAAAGAAAGAAAGAAAGAAAGAAAGAAAGAAAGAAAGAAAGAAAGAAAGAAAGATCCACCATCTTGATTAGGATTTATAAGGGAAGATTTCCTTGGTAATAAAATTGGACCACATTTTCAACTGTCCTTAACCAGGACCCAGTTTTTGTGCTTGTACTTTTGGAGCTGAGCCAAAGATCTCCAAAGCTCAAACATGAACTTCTGCAGCTTGAGCTAAAGAAACATCCCCTAATTG